TCTCCTCCTCCGCCTCCGCCCAAAAAGAAAGATCCAATCCCCCAAACCCGCAACCACGATATCCACCACTTCGTCCCCCTTTTCGACCCGCATCATAGACCCTCCCATCCTCACACCTCGTCACCAACCAGAAACATAAAGCCTGCCCGGCTAGCTCAATCGGTAGAGCGTGAGACTCTTAATCTCAAGGTTGTGGGTTCGACCCGTAAGTTATAGCTCACTCATCATCAGGAGATGGTTCATTATTGGAACATCGTCATTAACCCATCATCAGCCACGTCGGGCTCAATTCCCGTCCGCGATTGAAGCGCACTCACCTTTTTTGAAGATTCCTTTCCAAGGAACGGGTTTCTTGTTTTTTTGTTCAAGTTTTAAGTAGATTCGTGCGTATGGGAGGCTCCTCGAGTGAGGTTGACTTTGACTGTCGGAGGAATCGTGATTAGAAAGTTGAAAGTGGAATGCTGAGCTTGCAAAGAGAACTGGGTGGCATCAGCCTCCAAAATGAGCGACAAATATATGGTGTCACCGTTGGGTCCATGATTTGATCTGTCTCTCTGTTTATTCTTCTAGACTGTGCAAATGCAAAACGCCCATCTCGACGAATTTTTTCATGTACTCGTACATTTTTTCTTATCTGCTTCCCCATCTTCCCATCCTGACTGACCCCCTATGTATCGCTACCCTTAATTCCAGGTATCATAATACTCCAGACGCTGGCGAGGATATCTACGGGAAGGGCTCAATCGTCATCGTCGACAAGCCATCCTCCCTCCGCCGCAGCGCGCATGACCAAATCCACGCTCTTCTGCGCGTAATCCGCCATGCCCCGGCGCTTGGCTCTCGCACGCTTCGCCGCACGCTTGCCCTTTCTTCCCAGCAGGGCGTCCAGGTCCAACTCGCTCGAATTCGAGTCCGCCTTCTAAGCCTCCTCGGTGGTAGGAGCAGGTGCAGCGGCATCCTCAGTCTCCGCAACAACAGCAGGCACAGACGCAGGCTCGAGATCCATCTCCTCGGGCGTGGGGGCGTCTTCAATGTCAATGAGTTCCTTCTCCGCGACATAGGCGTCCTCCGCCGCCTTCTTCCTGGCAGCCTCGTCGATCGCCCTCTGCTTCTGCAGGCTGTTGTTGATGAGCGGGGTGGTGTCGTCAAAGATGCGGAGCAGCATGGCCGTCCGGTCCTCCTTGGGCAGCATGAGGTTGAGCGAGTGGATGCTCTTCCACAGCGGGAGCGCCATGCGCTCGCTGAACGCCGGGTCGGAGCCGTCGGGCTCGACGCGGAGCACGCAGCAGCCCATGCCGATGTCGCGCACGCGCTCGCCAATCTCGCCCATCTGCTCCCACTCGCCGTCGGCGATGCGGGGAAACATCTCAATCAGCAGACGGCGCAGCGTCTCCTTCTTGGTCAGGCGGACGACGCGCTGCTCGCCGACGTAGCCCTGGAGGATGGGCATGCCCTCGGACTGGATCCGCCAGCGGCAGATCTCGGCCGAGGGGGCGTCCTGCTTCATAAACATCTTTACGCCGCCGTGGATGACCTTGATGCCGCGGCCCTCGTTCTCCGTAAGGATGTCACGCGCCAGCGCCGAGGTGTAGTAGACGGCCTTGGCGGGCTCGCCCGTGGCGTTGCGGACCATGTAGCGGTCGTCGGGGAAGCGCGGCGAGATGTGGTAAAAGTCGCGAATGTTCTTGATGACCTCGTGCTTGGGGTCCAGGTACTTGAACGGCTCCTCGACACGGCCGTGGATGTTGCGGTTCGAGTTCTTGGGCTTCTCTTGTGTTGTCGTCTCGAGCTTGGCCTTCTTGGTCTCTTGGGTCTCGCCGTCAGCCGTCTCGTCTTCTCTCGGTCGCTTAACACCGTTCGTAGCATCCTGCTCCGCCTCCTCGGCCTTTTCCTCACTTTTTACTTCTTCGGTGGCTTCAGTGATGGTCTCAGGGGCCGTCTCCGCAGCCGTCTCGGGGACTGCCTCGACCGCCTCTTCGGTCTTCACGGCGTCGTCAACCTCCATGTTCGCCTCGGTGTTCTCGGTCTCAGTCGCGGGCGTGGCTTCGGCAGGTGTGGCGGCCGCAGTCGCTCCGTTTGACTTGGTGGACTCGTCGCCCTGCTTCTGGTCCTCGGGGCGGATCTTGACCTCGGCCTTCTTCTGCAGAACGGTGATGAAGAAGCCTCCAGTGTCCTGCTGGTGAGCGTAGACACGCATGCAGCGCTCAAGAGGCAGGTCGGCGCAGACGCTGCCCTCCAACGGCGGGAACATGGTCTCGACGAGTCTTCCGGGAGCGACGCCCTCGGTGCTGTTCTTGGTCCACTCATCGACCTCGGCCTGAGAGCTCCACAGCCTGCCAGACTTGTCCATGATCCGCCACTTCTTCATGCCGGGGGCGCGAACGAGACCCTGCAGCTCGTTACTGCAGTCGACGATCTCGACCTTATCCGGGCCACCAGCGCGATCGATGGCGGCCGCGACGACGGACTCGTTCTCGACGGGGTTCATACTGCAGGTGGAGTAGACGACACGGCCTCCGACCTTGAGCATGGCGAGCGCGCGCAGCAGGATTCTGACCTGAGTGACGTGAAGACCCAGCGCACTGCCAGGCTGCCAGTCCTTCCACAGGTTCATGTTCTTCCTCAAGGTACCGTCACCCGAGCACGGCACATCGGCGAGGATTCGGTCGAACTTGAGGTATCGAGGCTTCGTCGGGGTCTCGGGGTTCGCGGGGAGCCTGATCGCGGGGTACTGAGTGGCGTCGTGGTTGGTAACGAGCAGGTTAGGGGATCCGAGACGCTTGAGCTGGTGGACAAGCATGTGGCCGCGCTTGTAATCGGAGTCGTTGGCGATGAGGAGGCCGGTGGTGCGGCCAGAATCCGAGGGGTCGGCCGAGAGATCAGCCTGGCGCTCCTCCTCCGTCTCGTCGCCGAGGTCGAGGCCGTCCTCCTTGGCAAAGGCGCGCAGAACCTTTCTGACTCTCGCCTCCTCGCCCTGGTGAATCATCTCGAGAAGCTGACCGGCCTTGCTGCCGGGCGCGGCGCACATGTCCAACACGGTCATGCCGGGGCGGACGTCCATCAAGAGGGGAGGAATCATGCTGACGACCTCCTGTCTGCTGATGTTGCCGACGGTCGTCTCGGAGACGAGGAACTTCTGGAAGGCGGCAAAGGGGGGGTATTTGCGAATAATGTTCTTTGGGGTGGTCATCCACCAAGCGAGCTCGTTGGGGTACCACGCCAAGGGCTTGGGGGGCTCGACGGTGCGTCCATCGGCGTGCTGGATGTTCTGGATCTCGGGCATGTATCGGGTTTGCAGCAGCTTCTTCACGGCCAAGGCGTGGCTGAATTTCGGGTCAGTAAAGATCGCGCGAGACAAGATCTTCCTGTCCTCCGTCAAATGACAACCAGATGCCTTACCCTTTGGAGCCGCAGAAGCGGAAGCTGTTGGGCAAATCTCTGCGCAGGGCATCCCAGAATGGGCCTTGCTCCTCATCGGAGAGACCAAAGATAGTATTATAGTAGCGCTGGAGTCTCTCGTTCTCCTTCTTGACGGCAGGATAGTTCTGCCACGACTCGCTGCGAGGCTGACGACCGCGGTCACCGCCGCCCTCGGCGTTGCTGCCGCCGCGGGACTTGCCCTTCTTGCCTCCCTGATGGAATGATTGTCAGCGCGCGCGAACAGGCAGCAGGAGTCAATTGAAAAGCGACCGCAAGAACTTACTCTGAACTTGCGACCCATGATGCGTCGCGGGGGTGGGAAGAGAAAATTAAGTGAACGTGCGTGGAGGGGTATGGGTTGCGCACGGCGAGTGTTGTTCGAAAGGAAGGGAAATTCAGAGGTAAGAGTCGTCGCAGTCCAATCCTGTCAGCGTTGGTGGGTAGTGTCGCGCGGTGTGAAATTTTGCCGTCACCAGAAAAAGAGCAACGGAGAAAAAAAAAAAAAGTTGGAGGTTCGGGCGGAATGCGCCAACATACGGCCAGCCCCTCGATTGGAGATGATTGGCCTATCAGAGGATAGCTACGGGGAGCGATCTAATCACCCCGCATCGAACCCCTGCATCCTCAGGGTCCGCCCCGGCCCCCCGCCCGGCATGTATCCGCTGAAGCCTGCTGGAGCCCGCTGAGAAGTGTCCCGCATTCATCACCTCTCAGTGTGCATACGATTCTTTCAAGATACAGGTAAGCACCAAAGGTACTCAACCTTCATCTCATCATCCTCCCATCTTCGGCGTCTGTTACTGCGGTAGATGCGATCGGGATTTTGACCATATCGGCTACGGTCCATGTAAACTCAAGTAGCTCACCTCTGCGGAATGAGGCCGCAGGCACGGCGCCGATTACTCTACTTCTGGGAGCCCAAGCTTCCTGGAGGTCTGCACCTCATAGATGCGTGACATCCGCAGGGCGTGACAGCAAAACGTAAACTGTACGCTTGTCATCGCTTTCAAGAGCCTCCGATCACCGTCGCGGAGCTCATTCCGCTTCTCCCTCACTAAACAACCAAGTAATCCTCTCCGTTGTATTAATATCTCTACTGCTATTGGATACCTGAGCTGAATGGTGGTGGGCACCGAGGCACGCATCGTCAGGGATGGAGGGCCCCAAAACGCCAGAGCGGCACAATGGACGTATAATGCGGGGTTTGCCTCGGGACCCGAGTACCGGTAGTCGGCGGAGAGCGTGGCCAACTCTTAGCAATTCCAGGCTTGATTTCCGTCTTGATAACTGCAGATTGCTGTCTCATTCTGTTAGTGACGTGGAAGTTGATCCCCCATACCTGCCAGTGGGGGTTGGGGTATCGGCAACCGAAGCTTGAGCTATCCCGCATTAAAGTCTATATGCGACCCTTTCGGATGGACATTCGCGTGGCGAGGAAATACTCATCTCTCACACTTCATCTCACTCATATAAAGCTCAAACCCACGTCCGCAATTGCCGGTACTATTCTCTATTCATATTGAAACAACATACACATACATATGTTCTGTAAAGCGATCCCTCATTGAGAGAAGAAAACCATGGCACCATCAACCTCAGTCAGCCAGATTCCCCACGCGGACGCCTCCGCCGTCAAACACACAAACGGCAACGGCGTTCTGCCCAGCTCTACCATTGCGCCTGAAAAGAAGCCCGGGCAAGACAAGTCAAAGACCCTGGAGACCAAGGGCTTCCCCCGCCCGCAAAAGTTTGACGATCCGTACCAGCAGCGCCAGCACCTTAAGGAGCGTCTGGCCCTAGGCTTCCGCATCTTTGCAAAGAACGGCTTCGACGCCGGCGTCGCTGGCCACATCACAGTCAGAGTATGTATTCTTCCGTCTTAGAAACGCTCAACATATTCTCGAACCAGCTTCGTGAATCTAAAACTAACGACGTCAAAAGGACCCCGTTGAGCCGCAAACATTCTGGCTAAACCCATTTGGCGTCCCCTGGCCACTACTCAAAGCGTCAGATCTCATTCGCGTAGATGAGAATGGCGAAGTGGTCGAGGGTGGCCCCGTCAGGCTCTTGAATACCGCCGGTTCGTCCCCTCAGAACGGCCCAACTTTATTAGTTGCCTCTCAACGAATCTAGCTGACAATGTAAACTCGTAGCATACATGATCCACCACGCGGTCCATGAAGCCCGCCCCGAAATAAACTGCGTAGCCCACTCCCACTCCCTCTACGGCCAAGCCTTCTCCGCCCTCGGCCGCAACCTCGACATCACCACCCAGGACACCTGCGCCTTCTACAACGACGTCGTCCTCTACAACTCCTTCGGCGGCATCGTCCTCGGCAAAGAGGAAGGCCTGCGCATCGCCGCCGCCCTGGGCAACAAGAAGGCCGCCATCCTGCAGAACCACGGCCTCATCACCTGCGGCAAGAGCGTCGAGAGCTGCGTCTACTGGTTCCTCAGCCTCGAGCGGTGCTGTCACCAGCAGCTTTTGGCTGATGCCGCTGCGGGAGGGAGGGGCCACGAGACGGTCAAGATTGATCAGGAAGATGCTGAGTTTACATACAAGTCCATCGGGTCCGAGGTGGCAGGGTGGTTTTCGGGGAAGCCTACTTTTGATATGATGGAGCATGAGTCTGGTGTTGCTTATAAGATGTGAGAGTGGTGGAGGTGGTGGGGTTAATTATGTATGGAAATGCCAGGCAGAATGAACAGCTTTGATATTGATTATCACTGACTGAATTTGAGAATTTTAGCGACATGTAAGGTTTACCTATAGCCATCGGTAGCTACCTATACAAAAGGGAGCCCATACCATGTTGAATCGTGCCTCTTCAGGACTGGGTGGAAATGTAGCCTGAACGGTCTTTTGTCTGGAGTATTATATATTCCAGATTCGGTGGCTAGCCTAAGGCACGGTACATGGGACTGAACTCCACAGCCTTCGCATCAAAGAGAGATCCAGCGGTCCGTCCGTCCTGACGTGCCTCTTCACGTATTCGTTATGTACTACGTTCGGCTTAAAAAATGACGGGACGGGAGCAAGGGTGTCTAGAATGACTCCGGCTTAACAGATATGTTGACTGCGATAATCTTGCTACGCTCTCCAAATTCGAGACAAAGGCTAATGACGCACCAAGCTCTGGGATTTGTGTCTGGGGCATACTTCAAGTCACTGGTCATTCTTTCAAACTGAATAATTCTCAACGTATCGGACATGGACAACAAGGGGCCAGTCTTGAAGGAAACCATGACAATTTACGAGAGACTACCACATCTACGTACCTAGAAAGCCTCAGTTTCGTCCTTAAGGGTGTTCAGGCTATCGGCTAAAATGTCATAGATCGATGTGGTCTCTCCTGTTCTAGGAACTGTGTCAAAGTCCCAGCTCAGAAGGTTCCTCTTGCACTTTGAGGATGTATAAAACCAGGCCATTCCATCTGTCTGCGTCGTTTCAACCTTCCACCGGGTTGCGGAAGATTGTTGCAATGCCGTCTATAAGAGTTCCTGGTTTAGTTGCGACTCCTTGCACCGCTCTAGCCACGACAAAGAATGAGATATCCTTTCTTTTGTGTCACTGCCTGATTTGATGAGTGTAGAAAGGGTCTAAGCTGCATCTTCGAAAATCGTCCAGTGATATAGCTTAAATTGGTTCTCCATTCTTTGTTAGTTTTAAATTTATCCCAACTATCCGCTGTAAAAAATATTGGGTATTTGTAGAGGAGGACGGGAACGGAAGTCATATGTAACTAATCTCGGTCGATACTGTGTAGGAAAATCTGGCTGCTTGCCTATAATTTGCCTCACATCAAACCAAACAGACAGGAACGGAACCTAGCACGGTCTCTTCACAACTTACAAGCTCGAGTACAGTCTTGCTCCCTGGACTCAAGCCCCTAGGCACAAGCTAACCACGCTATTTGTGTCGGAGGTTCAAGTATGTAGGTGATCACATGAATCATTCAATGTATCCGATCTCTATTGAGCTCACTCTCCGACTGCAGATTTGAAATATAAGTAACGGCTTCTTTCTATGTGTATGTGTACAGGATTTCCATACAGATGCCAAAATTACACGCAGCCCGGGCACAATCTATAACATGCTGTTCTAATGCATCATATCCAACTCCCTGACTGGCTTCTCCAACCGCCTTACACATACTGAGATGCAGGGACAACCTCGGCCCCTTTTCACTTATTTTCCACCCTCAAAAAGCTCCTCCAAATCCTTCCTCTCACCACTATGATGAACCATGTCATAAAACACGCCTCTCGCTTTATACAACTCAACCGGTCGACCCGCCTCAACGACCCGTCCAGCCCCCATGACAACGACCGTATCATAATCCGCAATCGTCCGCAGGCGGTGGGCAATCGTGACCAACGTACGGTCGTCACCGCCACCATCTCCGTTAACCTCCCTCCGCAGCACAGCCTGAATACCCCTATCCGTCTCATAGTCCATGCTTGCCGTCGCCTCATCCAGCAACATCAACCTGCTGCCCCGCACCAGCGCACGACACAGCGAGAGAACCTGGCGCTGCCCATGGGAGAAGTTCTCACCCTTGGCATTCACAACCGTCGACAGCGCCAACTTGGAAGAGTCACCGTCACGCGCGACCACCGCCGCCGCGTCGTCGTCCGCGTCGGTATCCACGTCCGAAGAAGGCTGGTACTGGAACGAAGCAATCCCTTGACACGACTCGAGCGCCCTCTCGAGCACGGGCTCGGCAATCTTGCCCGTCGGGTCGAGGTTCGTCCTCAGCGTGCCGTTGAAGAGCACGGCCTCCTGCGGGATGATCGTCAACGCCTCGCGGAGCCGGCGGCGCGGGATCTTGGTGATGTCGATGCCGTCGTAGAGGATCTGACCCGACACGATGTGCGTGAAGCGCAGGAGCGAGAGGACGAGGGTGGATTTGCCGCTGCCCGTGCGGCCGACGATGGCGACGCGCTCGCCGGCGCGGAATTTGAGGTTGACGTCTGTGAGGATGTTGGGACCGTCTTGATCGTAGCGGATGGTGACGTTGCGGAACTCGATTTCGCCTGTTGTCGGCCAGATTTTGGGGATGACGTGGGTTGGGGTGTCGGTGTATTCGACTTGGCCTTCTTCCGGGTAGGATTCGTCGTCCTTTTCTTCGGTGTCGAGGCCGGCGTATTCCTTGATACGTACGAACTGTTCTCTGATGTTAGCCACCGGAACTCCAGAATCACAAAGAAAGGAGGGGGAAAAGGGGATGCGCGCAGCTTACACTTTGCAGCTCTACCTCGAGGTCGTTCATGCTACGGACGAGACCCAGGATCGTCTGACTCAAACCGGTGGCATTGTGCAGCGAGAAACCCACAAGACCGGCGCCCACAAGGCCGGCCTTGGACACGGCAATGATGCCCGCGCTCAAGCCGACCAAGGCCGTGATGACATCGACGCGCATCGCGACCCACCGATTGCAGTTGAAGTGCGCCTCCGCCGCCCGAGACCAGACGCGGAGCTTGTCCGCGAGGTTATCACCAAAAGTATCCGGCATCCCGGCCCGCGCACGAATAATAGGCAGACCCGCGAGTGTATCCGCAAACTGCGAAAAGATGGGCGACTGCGAGCTCGCGACGAGACGCTTGATAGTGACGGCCGTGCGGGTGTAGATCTCACCGACGATGAGGCCGCACGTGGACGCGACGGCGGCGGGCACGATGAAAATCGGCATGATGGAGCTGATGGCGAAGATGCGGATGACGAGCGCCAGTGAGCTCTCGAGGAAGGCGCGGAGCTGCGGACTGACGCTGAGGTCGAGCGAGGACATGTCGCTCGAGAAGCGGTTGATGATGCGGCCGACGGGCGTCTGCTTGTACCAGCTCAGGGAGACGCGCATGACGGCGCGGATGAAGTCATTGTGCAGCTTGCGGGCGGCGTGCCAGGCGCCGTTCTCGAAGACGAGGAAGACGGCGGCGTAGAGAACCGACTCGGTGACGGTGACGGCCGCGTAGACGCCCAGGTAGAAGGCGATGTCGACGGCCGTCTGCCTGTCGTAGGCGTCTACCCAGACCGAGAGCCAGAGGGTGCCGCCCATGACGGAGAGCTGGGAGAGGAGCATCAGGAAAATGCAGAATACTGCGTAACCTGGGCCGCCAAAGTAGGTCATGTACTTGAAGACTTTGTTTCTAGTTGTTAGCTTTGAAGCCTTGAAGGTGGTCAGGGGGTTACACTTACACATTAAACGAGCGCTCTTCCCGCTGGCCTTCATCTCCTGAGCAACCACATCCTTCGTTCCCTTATCGACGGCGACCTTTCTGGTGTCGTTGAGCGGATCCGTCTGCGTCTCGACTTCGGTATCCGAGTTGTCGGAGACTTCAGTGCTGCTCTCGCCTTCAATATCCTTGGCGACAGCGACCGGGTGCCTGACGACACCAATATTCTGCTCAACGTGCTTGACGGCACCGTCCTCGAGAGTCAGGGCAACGTCAGCCTGAGCCGCAACCCAAGGCTGCTGCGCCACCAAGACCACGGTACGCCCTTTCAACAAATCGGAGCAGAAGCACCGCTCCCAAAGCGAGGCCGCCGTCTTGGCGTCGAGCGCCGAAAAGATGTCGTCGAGAAGCAGCAGGGGCGCCTTGGAGTACAGCGCCCTAGCCAGCGCGACGCGCGCCTTCTGACCGCCCGAGAGGGACGCGCCGTTCTCCCCGACGACGGTCTGGTCGCCGGCGTCCAGCTCCCGCAGGTCGACGGGGAGACAGCAGGCATTGACGACGGCGTCGTAGCGGACCGGCTCGAGGGGGCTGTTGAAGAGGATGTTCTCCTTGATGGTGTCGTTTTGCAGCCACGACGTCTGCGACGCGAAGGCCACGTCCTTGGGCCGCGTAATGATACCGCCCTCCTTGACCGTCTCGCCCAGGATCGCGAGCAGGAGCGTCGTCTTGCCGCTGCCGCTAACGCCCGAGACGACGTTGAGCCCGCCCTGGGCAAAGTCGATGGAGAGGTCCTTGAGCTGGAACGAGGCCGCCTTGTTGCGGCGGAAGGTGGCGTCCTGGATGCGGAGGGGTCCCTCGGGGTACTCGTCGAGCGGCGTCGTGGTGGCAAAGTACCTGTCGAGGCGGCTGATGGCGATGGCGGCGCCGGTGATCTGGCGCGACATGAAGGCGACCTGGCCGACGTTGCGGCGGATCTGCTTGACGAGGTACGTCGTAGTGAAGGCCGTGGCGGCCGTCATGGGCTGCCCGCAGACGCCGACGTAGAGGGAGAACATTGTAATCATGGAGATGTAGGGCACGAGGGCGCTGATCTGGTTGAGCATGACGAACGACAGCGACACGCGCCAGAGGTCCCGCTGCTCGCTGGCGCGCGCGTCCTCGATGGTCTCGATGATGGCGTCCTCCCACGCAAAGTACTTGACGGCGCGGATGGAGGCGAGGTATTCAGAGACGAGCGAGATGCGGGCGTCCTGTGCGCGCCGAGCTTTCCGCGTCAACCGGCCCATGAGCCGCGAGATGGTGACGGACACGGGCGCGGCGAGGAGGAGGATCAGCGTGCCCACGAGGGCGGGCCAGCCGAGCATCCTGTAAAGACCGATGACTGAGAGAATGGTGCCCACGGGCACGCCAGTCCCGGCCATGACGACGTCGCGCGCGCCAAAGATGGCCTGCACGTCAGCCGCCATGAGGTTCGCCAGGCGACCGGCCGACGTCGTAGATCGCCCGGCCTCCTCATCCTTCTTGTTCTTCTTCTTATCCTTGTCCTTGTTATTCTTGTCCCCCGCGCCATCGGGCTTGGGCGCGAAAATGTCCTCCTCGAGCTCCATGGACCCCATGGCTCGGTGGTACAGCTCCTGCGTCAGGGCGGACCGCAGACGGACGACCAGACGGGTCGACGTGAAGACGTACTGCTGGAACAGAACAGAGCGCGACAGCGGGCCGCAGAACATGAGCACCAGCCAGAGCCAAGGCTTGACGGAGGCGCCCTGGGGGTCCGCGAGGTAGCCCAGGAGGTGGTACAGGCCGTAGGGGGCGACGAGCTCCGATGCGTAGGCCGAGGAGATGTAAAAGGCCATGAGGTTGACCTCCTTGCGCAGCAGGTAAAAGAGCGTCCACGTCGTCGTGACACCCCTAGCCCTCGCCTTCTTGATCCGCGCGAGGAGCAGCAGCGGCTCGTCGTACCAGGGCAGCTGGGGCAGGTCCTCAAGGACGACCTCGCCGGTGCGGGCGCCCTTCCACATGACGGGGGTGAGCCACTCGAACGTGAGGTAGTAGTTCGCCCAGCTGCACGTCTCCTCGGGCGCGGGCCCGCGCTTCTCGTAGTCCTCGGGCATGGGCACGTCGTTTCCAAGCGAGGGGGGGACCCATTCCCTGGGCGTGATGACGGAGAGGACTACGGCGGCCGCCAAGCTCGCGAGGCTGCCCTTCACCGGCGCCGCCGCGAGGGCGCACTCAGACGAGACTTCGATGCAGGGCAGAGCGGAGGAGGCGGCGAAGATGAGGAGCTCGAGACCAAGGGCGAAGTTGACCTGGTGCAGGGCGACGTGCCGCCACTCGAGATCGTTGACGAGCCGTGAGAGGCCTAGGACGAGGGCGTAGGCGGCGACGAGGGCGTTGAGCCAGGGAGTCTGTCCGCGGGCGGCCGCGAGGGCAAGGAATGCTAGTGCGGAAGCACGAACGAGCTGGGCGAGGAGTTCCCAGGGCCATCTGATGCTAGCGGCGCGGACAGTGGTGGTTGTGGTGGTTTGAGGTGGCGATGAGGGCTTGTTGCAGCGACGGATGAGGCGTGAAGCAGTCCAGAGCGCAGAGATGACGAGGACGAGGGCTTGAGGGTACCCTGAGTCGGCGATTTGGGTCACGTCGTTGATCCAGGGTAGTTCTGCATGGCTATTTGAGGTTCGTCAGTAATGTTCCTTTTAACGTCTAATCAGATACGTAGGAGCAACGGATGAGAGACTGGAATCCTCCACCACACGCTCTCATGCGCCCTCACAGAAGAAATGTGCAGAAAACACTTGATGCCATAGATTCACTAGGTTTTTGAATCAAGCCCGGAGGAATAAGTCCCATAAGACCATCTGGTAACAGTCTTTGCATCCCATATCTAAACCCGGAACGATTCCCCTTCCCATGGCCATGTAGCGGTCAAGCATTCTGTACAGAACTCACCTCGGCGCAGTCGCCAGCAAAGCCTGGGATCGCAATCGCGCCTCAGCCGCGAGGGCAAAGACTCTCTGAGGTATGAGATCCATCATCGTCAGGGGCAGCGCAGCGAGAGAGGTGTTGTCGACACCACAGCCTCTTCTCCGTTGGCGCTTCTCTCGATGTGGGATTCTTGACTACTGCTATGAGCACCGCGTGTCATGAGCGAGAACAACGTTGAAACGAAGGATTGCAATTCGCTGGAGGATTAGTGCCCCTTCTGGGGAGTGAGGCAGTATGCAAGCCAAGACCAAGAAGGTCTACAGAAAAAGAGCGGAGGGGGTAGAAATATATCAAAACATGTCAAGAAGGTATTCAACGTAAGAAGAACGAAAGAGAATCCCGAGACGTTGTACTCGTAAGAAAAGGTCGATAAGATACGGCGAGACAGGGGGATCCCTAGTCTTCTAGGCTGTGCACCAGTTCTAGAGCAAATGGGAAACGGTCAATGAAGGCCTTCCGCTGGGGGGGTACCCCAGCTAGGCAGCCAGAGCCTAGTCGGGATGCGTTCATCCTCATTGCTCGAATGTTCGTTTCGTCCATCCTTCCGGGGTTGTGTGGTTTGTGACGGGGAGGGGCCGATTGCTGAGAATGCGGGAATGATGACTGGACCGCAGGACTGGCAAAGAATGCTAGCAGCTAATAAGATGGGGGGCAGGGTCACCGGTTGCGAAAGCGGCATCCAGAGTGTTGCAATCCAACCCGACATGGGTTTTTGCATGCCGCCCTTGGATTGACACATTTATCAGGTAATGTACTGAATCCCGAAGCCTAGCCCGACTGATCGTCATTGTCAGCTTAATACCCTTCAAAAGGTTCTCTCTCCAGTGCATTGCCTTTTCCCAAGGCTGCACTTTTGTAAGATGCACAAGAATCAAGTTCCCAACAACAGAGCTCTCGGACAACTTTGCCGGTCTCGGGACCGGAAAGTGGGGCCATAAATTTGACCTCTTCCAAACGTCGGGAGCGGATGCGGAATGGGGTTGCCGGCCGAAGCAGGCAAGCCCAGCAAGCCATCCCACTGACGCCACTCCCGTCTGTGAGGTCGAATTTAAACCAAAGTCCCAAACTTCAACGTACCAAAGTTCCTTTAGTAGATACGAAGACCAAATTACCTAGGTATCCTAAAGTGGCCTTCCTGATAAGAGCGCTTACGGACTTCAATTCCCCAAAGAGAGTTTCGTTCAAGACGTATTCCAAGTTTCATGCCCATGCGGTCCCATGGATAATAATATGGGCGGGCACCCCCCGTCGCATCCCGCCCATCTAGTTCCCGTCCCGTGTAAGAAAGCTTGGCATTTCAAGGAACCAACCCTTCTCGACTTCGCACAGGGAGGATCATGGCCAGATTATCCCACTTGCTTGAAACGAGTCGTCTCGGGGCATTGTGATTCACCAGAAAGATTTATAAACGGCACCGACTGCATCGCATGAAGCCTGTCTCTGCTCTGTTTAATATGGACTTTTTTATCAATTCATCTCGCAAAGTACATAGCAACATAATTAATCATCCTACAATACGCAATCATCAAAATGCAGCCATGGACATGAAATCACCTCCTCTCCATAGATCCCAACATCACAATGCAGCAACATAGCAGCTGCCGCATCAAATACACCACCCCCTACACCGTTGGACCCCCCCCCTCCTTCTCGGGGCCTGTCAGCCTGCCTGACACCACCGGCATCTCGTCGCTCAAAACGGCAGGTCCAGGTTCCCCCCTCACCAGACGTCTCATTGGATCATGACCGGCACCTTCAAGAGAAAGCTCATCGATCTTTGAGAGGAGAGGGGGGAGTCAGGACATGGCAATCATGTCATATGCATCTTTTCTTGTTTTCGCTCACCAATTTTTTCCCGCGCCGTTTTATCCGTGTGTTCTCTCTTCTCAACCACTATTGCAGGATAAACGAGATTAGGCAGCAGTTGCGATTCTGACTTTGAGTTGTTGTCCGTTCCTACCGGAGCGAGCAACATCTTTCATCAAAACCTAGAAACCTCTCTCTTTCACTTATGGCAAAAACTCAAGGTCAAGGAACTAGACGGACACGCAAGGCACTCATACGTAGAGAGGGAATCTAATTATACGCTGACAATCTTTACCCCAAAAACTAATCAAGTTCTTTCAAACATAATACACACTTGAGCCTCCTGGCCGTGGTGATCTGTCTTCGTGATATGTACTTCATGTGCGTTAGAAACGTCTTCAAACGACCCCTCTCTCCCTTCTCACGCTCCATGGTTCCCAGGCAAGGATGAGAAAGAGATAGGCAGAGAGACCGATGAACAAACGAGCACACTTCAACCACCCAGTATAAAAACGCCCCCAAAGCCAAAGCCTCAACGCACTCCCCATTGGGCTTCTTTATTTCCCACTCCCCAAAAACTTGTTTTGACGACGCCAGGCAATGCAATTAATGAGCGCCTTCCCCACCGTTTCGTCTTTCCTTCCGTTCCATTCTTTCTCTCGTTCGTGTCGAGAATCAAAACATTAAGGGAACCTCGCTGTCCAAAATAAAACATTAAAATGACGATGACAAACCCTCACGGGGTTTAGTCTGCCTTGATTGCTCTGTCCGCACAACGTCAGCTTCTTTTTCCCCATAAGAATCCGGAGAGTGAGTGAAAGGAAGAAAGCTTACCCATAAATCCTCCGAACAAACGCGTACGCGCTCAGGAACCCCACCGTCCCCGTCAGGAGACCGTATACACAACACGCCATGAAGCTGTAGCTGAAGAAGAGCATACTGCTCACGAAGCCGGTAATGTGCAACTTGAAAAAGTAGTACCACACGCAGTACAAAAACACCCACACGGCGCTCCCACCGCCGACGGCGAACGACTGCCACCACCAGTTGTAGTTCTCGGCGCACAGCCGAACGTAAATCGTCACGACCGTCACCTCGGCAATCGTCACAATCAGAATCACCGACACCACGGCCAGGAACCCAAACACGTAGTAGTAGCCGCTCTTGTCCTGCCAGACGGACTGGAACACGAACAGCAGCTCAATAAAAATGACCGCAAAGGGAATCAGCCCCGCGAGCAGGACAGACTGCCACGACTTGATGTACCACGCCTGCCGGGGCACCTGGCGCGGCGCGACGCTCGTCTTGGTCGGGTGCTCCCATTTGGCGCTGCGGACGAAGCCGAACCAGGAGCCGGCGTAGACGAGGGGCACCTGGATGCAGAGCCAGAGGAAGATGATGGCGACGAGAGTGCCAAAGGGGATTGCCGTGCTTGAAGCCTGTGCCCAGACGAATAGGTTAAGGATAAAGACGATGCCAAAGAGGAGGCCGGGGAAGAGGACGGCGGTGACGAGCGCGTTCTTGCGGAAGTCCTGGCCGTCGAACGTCTTGTAGACGCGCGCTGAGAAGTAGCCCGAGAAGAGGCCAGCGAAGACGAAGAGGCCGACGCCGACACTGATGAAGCCGCCGCGGAAGCTAGGGTTAAGGACGCCGAGGGCGCTTAGCAGAACGAGACCAACCGCCATGAAGAGCAGCTGCATGCCGGATCCGACGAGCGGGGCCAGCAGGTAGCCGTGCCGGGGCGTCCGGAAGACGTCGGCGTGCAGCAGCTTCCAGCCCGTAACGTCCTCGAGTGCCTCTTCGTCAGACGACACGTCGGCGTCGTTTTCGGCGTCAATTCCGGCTCCCTGATCGAGCAGTCCGCCGGTCTTCTCAGAAAGTCGGGGGGATTTGTTGCTGGCCGTCTTCTTGCGCTTCAGCTTTGGCTTGCCGTCCTCGAGGGGCACCTCCTTGTAGCCCTTGATATCGGAGCGGATCGTTCTCGCGAGAATCATCAGGACAATGCCCGTGAGCAGACCGCAGATAATGAGCGAGTTGACAATGGCCAGCCAGTGAATCTTTTGGCCCTCCTCCTGATTGACAAAGTACAGATCCCAGCGGCGCGACCACTCGACATTGTTGTCCTCGCGGAAGTAGACGGAATAGGTATAGGGCACGGTCAGCTTGGCACCGTCGTCGGCGAGGTCTTCGTCATCGTCGGTAGCGGGGTGGTATGAGGAGGAATCGAGGTTCTGCTGCTGCTTTGGCGTCTCGGAGGACTTATTCGGGGCGAGGTAGAGCTCGAAATTCTGGTCAATATTCTGCAAATCCGCAGGGCACCCATTCTCGTCGCGCTTGTTATTGGGTCCGATGCTCTTGGGGTACACCTCGAAGCCGACGACGACTTTACCGCCGCGCTCGCCCGCCTTCCCGGGGGCTCTGCGCCAACGGATGACAATGGTGTGGTGGTTGTTGAGGAAGTAGCGCGGCTTGCCGCTGCTGGCCGAGTAATCCGTGAAGCCGAGCTTGAAGCCGGCGGCGTAGTACTTGCGGCTTTTGTCGACGGTTACGAAGCTCGTGGCACCGGGGAGGTTATCGACGATCCATTCGGTGACGTAGCCATCGTGTACCATGTCCTTTGCGCGGCGCATGTCCTTGCGGCTCATCTCGCGGTTGCACAGCAAGTTGCACGGCTTGTCCTGTCCGACGACCAGGTCAATGTCGGACGTCTTGATCCTGTCGCCGCGGAGGACCTCGCCGAGGTTCAGGGGGATGCTTTGTCCGCTAAGCAGTCCCGTGCCGGGCTTGCGCTGGCCCGTCGGCGGGCACACGAAGGGGAGGTCGTAGTAGGCATACTGCAGCTGAGTGTTGTCGGAGTAGACCTTGTTCACGAGTAAGGGTACCTGCTCGCCGTCCTTATAGCTCTTAATCGACCAGCCTATAGTTTAATATCAAGGTATAGTCAGCGGGCAATTGCTCGAGCGAGAGAGAGGTGTTTGAGATCATGAGCTAGGAGCTTCTTTCTGAGGGCGGCGAACCTGGAATGTAGAATGCGTCGGCTGGTGCGGCAAGCAACAGGGAGACGAGGCACCCCAAGCCGGCCTTGAGCACCTGTCGCATTGTAATTAGGTTCGGTATTTGCGAGTTCGTCGTCGTTGTCGAACTATATCCGCATAGACCGTCTCGACGAAGTTTGTGTAAGTGGTAAAAGAGGTGACCCGATAAGATGGGCGACCTGTCCTCTGCGGTGGTGGTTGTGGTTTAATCGGGGTACCTTTCCGGCTTGGAGGGAATTGAAGGACAATTGAGGATAAAATTAGGCCAAGTCAGGAACGCAATCAAGGTAAGACGAGTCCGGTCGCGTTCAGGTTCAGTCGAGGGTCCGTGGCTGCACGGTGTCTCTCTCCGCGCCACGCCGCCGCCGCAAATGGGTGGGAGGGCGGAATCCAAGAAAACTGGATCGGACTGGGCTGCGCAGATGTGCCGGCCCCAAAGGATCGCAAGAGGAGGAAACTCGGGGTGGTAGAAGGTGAGGTGAGGTAAGCTGAGGCGGAAACGAGTGGAATCGGTACCAAGTACCCAGGAAAGAAGTCTAAAGGTAAATTGTCAAGTATCAAGCTTCGAAATCTAGAACTCTCCCGTCTTGTTGAGAAATGACGCAAGTGAGCCCGCCGTCGGCCGTTATCGTTTTTGTTTCGAAACGGGGTCCAACCTTGGAAGAGTGGGTGAGGATGGAAGGGCGAGTTGAGGTGTTGTTGTTGTTGGAAGTAGGCAGGTTGAGTGATGGGAGACAATGTATGCAGCACGGGGGGAAGAGGCACAAGAGGAATACAAAGACACACCCTCCAGATGGAAGGGGGGGAGGGGAGGAGAGGGGATGAAGAGGCAATTGGAAGAAACCTAGGACGTTGACGGGATGCAGCTGGCGGATGGAGGACGGGACGGAATCGGCGGGAAATAAGAACAGTTCACAAGGGGGGAGGAGATGGACAGAGCATGGGAATGGGAATGGGAATGAAAATGGGAGATTCACTGGGATTGCATGGCATGAGCACATGGGCTGCGAGCATGGGGATGGATGGTCGGGATGGGGGGATCGATGATGGGCGCACGGTTCAAGACCACTTTACATATAGGAGCCCACTGAGAGGTGAAGCATCGATCAGAGAAAGGCCCGGAATAATTCATAAATTGCTTTTAATCATTCAACCTCAATCTGAGATGCCGTCTCCCAGCGTAGCATCGCGGTCGTCGAGTGCCATCCATCCCTCGCTGTAGTCCCCATCCGGCATCTTTGGGGGGAGGGGGGGAGCCTCTCTTCCCCTCTCTTCTCTTTCACAGATGGTACTCGCCTTGCCTTACATTGGATATCAGTAGCTTTGTACTTCTAATGTAAAGTAAGGCAAGGTAGGCACGCTTCCCTACGCGCTTCAGTTCCTATCTCGCGCCTGCCAAGACCAACATGTCTCTCAATGAGAAGCGCAAGACAGGAGCGGGAAGGCTTATCGCAATTCACCCATACTCATCCGTATGCGTACCTTGAAATTCCTTGCCCAGACTCTTTGCCCAATCCCATGAACGCAAGCGGTAGTACAGACATTTCTGCAGGTAGATACCTATGTACATACGGATAGGTTGCTCACGGTTCACCCCCCAAGACCCTCCAAAGAGCAGGCGAGAAGTGCGCCCCAACCCCTATATCTGCCGCCGCCCGCTGTCCCGCCGCACCAATCAACATCTGCTGTTGGGGAAGCTAAATCCAACCGACACGAGGGGGGTTCACTCTTTGGGGCAGGTCGCAGCCAAAGATGAAAGGGGTGTCCGCGTCGTCACGTGTAGTTCCATTGTGATTTGTGCATTGCTTGTGTTTTACAGAATAGGATATCCAGCTAGAAAAAATAATTCTCACGCAAGAAGAGGGAGGAATGGTTGGTTATTTGTGCACAGCTTACCTCACCTCGGAACTTGCGCCTGAGCCTCATCCTCAGCTTTGCAAGCCCTCGACTCGCGAGTCACCGCACTAGAAACGATGCCATGTGGAAACAGACGATCGATCTTATTTAGTGTGGGCAGTTTACGCGGCTCCCGCTCCCTTTAGTCAAGTTACTATCAATAGAAACAAACGAACAAACCACTTCTGTGACCTGCCTCGTAGACGATCGCTCCCTCTCTCGAACAAACAGCATCGGGAGAGTGGGCTGTTGGACAGTGACAGGCCGGGTGTCAAGAACGCCCAGATATCGTCATCTTTCTCCATTCCCAATGTCACGGGGGGAATTCGCATACACGGATAGTGATGCAGTTTGCTTGGTGTTAATGTGCTAATGCCAGCTTATGCCGGATAATCAAACCCCCACATTTCCTCACCCCCAAATCCCCCTCATTTGCCCAGTGACCCTCCAGTCCGAGCTTCTTGGAAAAATCATGCTGAGCGTCCGGGGCAAAAGAAACAGGGAAAAAGCGGGATAGCAGCAAAAACTCCACCGCAATCTCGATACTGGAAGCAACAGGGGAAAATGGAAGCAACTTAATGGGCCTAGAACTTTCTGGGTGTCCGGCACGGCATGGC